GGATCATGACCTGAGCCGAAGGCAGACGCTTAACGACTGAGCCACCCAGATGCCCAACTTTTGAGCACTTTAGTATTGCCTACATATCTATGCTTAAGAATGTCTTACATTTCCCAAGAGATACAGAGGGTTAATCAAGGAGCTCTAAAAACAGTGAAACAACTAAGTTTAACAGAACCTTTTGACTACAAAACACCACCATTATGAGGTTGTTGAAGCATTTGTCAAAGGACTTTCCCTAGCCAGTTTCAGTCTGTGTTGTGTTTCTTGGCTGGATGAAGATATCATATCAGTCTTACTTATAGCTCAACTACTGTTCAGTTAAACTCTAGAGTTACTTGATTTTCAAAAGAGCTACTTGGTGCAAATATTTAATTAAAGCTAAAAATCAAAAGTTGAAGCCCTTGTTGAAACTCATTTGTAATGGGAATGTACTTAAACATTTTAAAACATGCCTTATCACCTGTAATTATGTTATCTTTTAAAATTGAATTAAAAATATATATACAATGAATTGAGGTCATGTTTGTGCAGTTAAACTTAGGCTAAAGAACATTTAGACAACTAGCTAACATGCATGAAACATTTACTTATATGGTATTGACTTTTAGAATTTATTCCTGGTAGCTACCCCATTAACACAGTGGTCAGATGCACAATAAGTGGTATAGAGTTCTAGATGTCCTCTTGTTGCATTTTTAAGGCATTCTAGAACTAATAACATCTGGTAATTTACTAACATCTTCTTGTCTAAAATTGGGATTAAAATCAATAAGGTATTGGAGTTTCTTTCATATATTTTTCTCTTGTGGGTTGTCAGATAATCTTAAAGGAGTTTTTTAGTAACAGTGATCTTAGTTTGTCCTATTTGGCTAAGCACCCGTAACTATTCCATACATGAGGGTTTTATTACTTTTTAAATGAGGAATGATAACACATATTTATATATGTTCCTTTGTTATACGTGGTCCTTAGAGCAAAAAAAAAACGAAAGTTATTGTTTAGTTTTTATTTAATCAGAAACTGAAGTCTAGAAATTGTAATGATTTTATGAAATTCATTTTCCTTGGAAACAAAATGCCACAAAAAGAAAATAAAAAAAGAAGAAAGAAAGAAAAAGAAGAGAAAAGAAAGAAAAGAAAAAACAAAATACCAGAACTGAATGAGCAGTTAAGGACTTTTAAATGCTCAGCACTGGGAGGTAACCTGTTAAAGAGGCAAGAGAAGGAAAGTGTTCTGTATTTAGGATTCACAGGGCTGGCTTTGAAGTCCAGCTTTGCTAATCACTAGCTTGGTGTTCCTGACCAATACCCTTTACCTGTTAGAGACCCATTTATCTCCCTCTGAAATGGGAGATAATGCTGCCTTCCTACCACCCAGGGCTGGTTTTAGGAGGCTCACTTGAGATAATGGATATAAAAATGCCCTGTACATTAGAAAATTATGTAAAAAAAAATTATCATTTCTGTTGAGGAATCAAGCAATACAGATAGAATTGTAAGCATATCAGGAGGTTAGGTTCTAAATTCAAGTCCTGAAACAAAAAAACTGATTAAAGTCAAAATTACTCTTGGAAGTTACTAAACTAATGTAAAATGTGGTTGTATTATTTTGCCTATACAACAATGAATAGTAATCTGTAAAGCAGATGTCTATAGTAATATACTGCTATAAAGTAGTATAAAGAAAACATGGCCAAAATGATTTTACAATAGATTTTTTTCTTTAGCTGAGCATAATGTAAATACTTTTAAGTTAAATATATGTTAGACCCTATCCTAACAACTAGGAGTAAGACAACCTATGAAAATAATACCCACCCTCCCAATGTAGTGGAACCCTAGACACAGGCATCTGGAAAAACAACAGCTAACGAGAGTTAACTCAAAGTGGGCTCCAAGTTAGGAAAATGGTGGCATCAGTGTTTGGTTTGGCTGGGAAAGGTTTAACATTTTAAAAATTTGAATCCTTTCTCAGTTGGGCATTTATTCTCCAGGTACTTGACACTCCTTGTTGCTTTACATCAGTCTCTTTCACATTTATCTGCCTTGGGTCCTTAAACCCACTGAGTCTTTGATTCCTGATTTATCCAACGAAAGGCCTACCTGACGAAACTAATCTTAAAATTGAATGTTAAGTAAGTTATTAGTATGGATTGACAAAATAGTGTTTGGGAAGGCAAGCCAGCTTGAAGGAAGGGAAGGAAGTAGAAATAGGAAGGAGCGCCTGGGTGGTTCTGTCAGTGGAACATGTGACTCTTGATCTTGGGGTTGTGAGCTCGAGCCCCACATTGGATGTAGAAATTACTTAAAAATAAAATCTTAAAAAAAAAGGAAAATGTTTACAAAACAAAAAGGGTTAACACAGCTGAAGCACCCGTTGAGAGAAAGTGGAAGATGAAATTGGTTGGTCCTATAAATGGAAGGTCTCTTTTCCATGTGAAGGGGTTTGCTTTGCTCTGATAGAACCCACTGGGAAGGAACCCACCACAGCCTGTGTGACATGCTGAGATGGTATCTGAGAGAGTTTCTGTTCTTTGAATGATGGGCAGTATTTAGAAGGAATTGAAGGGAAGAAAGAAGGCCTTAATCTCAGTGCTCAGTGATAGGGGCCTGAAACAGTTCAGAGGTTTTCAAAATAGAGACTAAGAGCCTAATTTGAGGGAATCTGGGGCTGATTGGCCAAAGATGAAGATTCAGAGCTGTGAAGCCACCTTTGCTTCACTTTTCTTTGGTGCCTGATATTCAGGGTTTCCCGACATTTATCATTCTTTCTTGGGAAAGTCTGCTCATTCCATCATCTCCTGTTTGCTCTGGAGGAAGTCATACTAATTTAGGCCTTATCACTAGAGTATTTCTAAATAAAGGATCCTCTGGAGCTGATGTCTAATCCTTTTCCCTAGCCCCAATCCATCTCTCTCCCTCATTCTTACACATGACCAAAAGAGCTGCTTTCCCTGAAACAGTTCTTTCAGCAACTCACTTTGTTATTCCAAAAATTAGAAGCCCTTTCAATTGTTTATCATGTCAAAGGCAGGACTTAAAGGCCATCCCTGAGGGGGTAATAGAAGAGATTAGGGCAGTTATTTCACAGGGTGATAAACCTTTTGAAATCCTGAGATCTAAAATTTAAATTACGGTCCTATTTATTCTGTAGTGTATAGCAGCTAAAACTGAAGACAAATTTTGAAGTCAAGGAAAGATTAGGCAGGGATCGCCAGGTCCAGTTCTCATCCTTTGTGTTGTGTTTCAAGTGTGAAAGAACTCTGTACACACACACAGACCTGCCCTTTGCTCACACAATATTCATTCCTGTCTCCTTGCTTTTCTGCTCAGGGCATTCCCTTTCATTTGTCTTTTCAAAATTGCTACTAAGATCCACTTTTCCATAAGCCCTTTGGCTTTTCTAATTATTTCTTCTAACCCATATTCTTCTCTGCTTTCAGAATTCTTACTGCACCTCCCTGTAGTACTTAGCCTAGTATTTAATCATTCGCACATGTTCCCCAAGTAACATGTGAACTCTGGCATGAAGGAGTAGCCCCACCCCCTCCCCCCATCATACTCTTGAGTCTCCCATAGCAGATGTCTGTGGAGCACAAGGTAGTAGAAGAGCAGCATGGAAGAATAGGAGGATTGCTCCTGGGTCCTGGTCCCAGCTTAATTAATGATACACATGGCCTATGGGGAATAGGCCTTGACTGTATTTTCTGTGATTCAGAATTCTATCATTCTAGCAGTGTAAAAAGGCCTAATAGAATGGGATTAGGGGTAAGGGAAAAGAGACTGTAAATTAAGGTTGTGAGCCCAGAAAACCAAACTCCAGAAAAGTAGGAAAGACGTGCGATTTGGTTGAGGAAGGAGTAGGGAAGGGAAGTTAGTATAGCGTTTGCCCGTTTCGCTGTCATTGAGTTTCTAATGCAAAATGTCCCTAGACAATGATAAGTAGTAGGCTATGGAGAGAAGGGGGTTGACCAATAGAGAAGAGATTCAAAGTCATCACCAAACAGGTGAAATGAGCCTCCAGGAGGGAGTGGATGAGAAAGAGCAAAGTGAAGGGCACTAGTTTTTGAAATGAAAGGCATGATAAAAGAGCTAAGAGGACTGGTGTCTCTGAGTGTAAGGAAGCTGTGATATCCAGGGAGAAGTGAGCAGTTTGACAATTGAGAAAAGGTAGCATTTGTTTGACCAAGAAGAACTGATGAAATTGATAGAGAATTTCAAATTCCAGTGATAGGCTGAAGACAGTGTCTGAGTTGCAAAGAGTCAGGGAGGAAATTATAACCAGCCTCAAAGGAGTTTGAAAAAGCATTCCCATAGAGAAACATACTGGTGACTTTAGATACAGGAAATTATGCCTCAGACTATGGTAGATACCTAAAGCATTTCTTCTAAATACACAATTCTATGACAAAATATTAAAGTTATGAGGAGGACAAAGCTTGTTATAAAACAAAGCATTGTTCTAGAAATTATATTCTCCTGGTGAAAATCTTGTAAGAAAACTGGTGGTAACCTGTTTGACCCTCAACTAGAAACTAACCTATGGTAAAATGTGAGGAACTGGAAACCACAGTTCATTATCAAATATTTTAATTTTCTATTTATAGTATCCTGTTAGATTCTGTAAAGTTCCTCTAATTATCTCTTCCTTCCCCCCCAGCCTTTTAAAAACATATCAAGAAACTAAGCAAAAATGTTTTTTTTGATGTGAAATTGAGTTAGTATACTAATCATTTTTTGCCAAATTGCATCATTTAAAAAAACCTGACTACACTGCCACAATATACCTGTGGTTGTGTGATTCAGAGAAATGTCAACAGTGTGATCTTGCTCATTAAGGCATCTTAATATGATGATATATAAACCTAGTTATATAATGAAAAGATATTTTCACAGACTATGGCATTGACCAGATGAACAGATTTAAAGTTTAAACATTTAGTTCTGTGACACAGTAATGAAGGTTGACCTGTTTGTTTCTTATGTTTCTTTTAATAGAATTTAATTCCTTTTCGACCTTCCATTCAGTTCCAAGGGCTCCAAGGGGTGAGTACTCTTGTTGATTCAGCAAGAAAATCTAATATTCTTCTTACATACTATTATATTTAAACTCTTAAAATTTGTATTCACTTGTGCCTCAATATAAGGTCACTCATATTTTGTGAACTTTATGACTTAAATGTAAATTTTGGACACCTTAATACACTTGAATTATCTTTTCCTGATTTTAAAAAATAATTCAGATATACTTATTGAAGAGTAGTTTTTTGCCCTAATCATGAATAATTGCATTTTTTACCTTTTTTTGACGCATAATATATGTCACAGTATTATGAGAATTTTTTTACTGCAATTAAGCAACCATAAGGAATTGTTAATTTCAGTCAAGTTATGATTATGTGATTGTTGTTACTATTGATGAACTTTTGCTCTCTGTAGACCTAATTTCAATTGTACATACTAAGAAATGTGTAAATAGAAAATTGAGTTTTACCAGTACACAGAATAAATATTGTATATTTTATTGCTGCATTTAAAAGCATAATAAATGATAACTCCTAATAAAATATACCTATGAATTTTGTGTTTATAATAGATGATAAACTTTACAGTAGTATATTATTTTTTAATTATTACTATTAATATTTAATATTAATAAAAAGTCTTAATCATTCCTTCCTTTAATATGCATTTCTGAATTTGTGTCTATATATTGACTGTAGTATGGAGATTTGGAATATCTGTAAATGGATTTTAGAGCTCAAGAAAAAACAAGCTGAAAGAGGGAGATCATATTCCTGCTTATTATAAATCTACATTTGTGAATATTATGTCACAAAATGCAAAAACTCAATGTAAATCAATACAGTCTTTCTAAACTTTATAACTTGAAAACATTTCACGAGTCAAGAGTTTAATTATATCATTCAGTACCAGCTAAGAGTACTTCTAAATAATGCTAACGTGAAGGAGATGTTTGTGTGTGGTTGTCAGAGCTCTGCTTCTACATGATGGCTTTACAATGAAGTTCTTTTTTTTTCCTCCCCCAGTAACTGAGTGTTTATGAATGGGATCCTAATTGCAGCAACATCTTCTGCGTTTTGTTTTATCGCTTTTTAGGTCCTTAGCACTTCCTGGCACTATTTTTGAGGTATTAGTTTTGGTTATTTATGTAAGGCTTCTTAAGTTTTGTCACAAAATTTAATGGCATCAGTAATCTCTGAAAGCATGTTCCAGAGGCAAGCCTGAGTCTGTGAACGCTGGAGGGCTCCAGGGATTTTCAGTAAAGGGTTACCTGAGATGAGAGTTCAAGACCCAGGAGTGGAGAGTAAGGTTTGAACTGCTTTTCGGTCAGTAGCAGCTGTTACCTTGTTTGGGATCTGCCTCTTCCCTTAATTCTCTTTTCCCAGTTAGGACATAAAGGCTAGGGAAATGCAAAAGAAGAACATTTTCTTAGGAGGCACCAAGTTAGACTGAATAATGAGAAACCAACATGTGCAGGCTTCCAAACTCTTGATTCAGACACATGCAGCTTTTAGCAGGCTTAGAAAGAATATGGTTTTCTCTGGCACACCATTTGCCCACAAAAGGGCCCAGGCACCATTGCAAAGCTGGCAGTTGATATTTGAGACTTTGCATGTCCTTTTCTCAATTCTACCTCCCCCAGGCTTTCCTGTCTCATGCGTCCAGGCTTCCTCAGTTTATCTTTGCAAGCATCGTTCTCTTCCTACTCCATTCCTTGCCTGAGTGTGGTTCTGATAAAGATAACTTAGATGTAAATGACTGATAGGTTTAAATCTTAATGGGTGTTTGAATTTTAACAGATAAGCTTTTTTAACCCAAATGAATGGTTATTGGATCTAGCAGAGTGGGGGGAGGGGCAGGAGGCTGTAGCCTGAGAGCAATGGAATACTTGGCCCTACCTTGCTTGCTTAGCTTTGTGTCTCCTCTACCCCTCCACTCCCAACCCCACCCGAAGCCCCCTTTTTATTATTCTAACTGGGAACAAAATATATGGACTCAGCATTGTTTCTGAGCCTGCAGCTGCATTCCATCCACCCTTCCCCCCCTTCTCTTTGCAGAGTTCTCACCAGCCCTTTGGGACTTAGTAAAAACAAAGAGTCATTACAGGGGAGAGAGTGGGTTGGCACAGCCTACAGGGAATACGCAGAGCCACAAATGTGAGGGTCTTCTGTACAGTGTTCCTCTGTTATTCTCGAGAGCCATGATAGTTTAACATTGCCTGTGCTGATTGCTTTAAAAGCCCTGAAGAAGTATGCTTATAGTTTTCCTGTGTGGAAAATGTTCAGGACTTTTAAGAAGGCTTTAAAGGCTTAAATTTAGATTTCCCACAAAAGATCATTTTTCTTAATGTATTAAAATGAAAATTTTTAATACACTTTCAGCAAGTTTGAAAGTTTTTCTGGAAAGGATTTGGCAAATCTAACAAATTTACAGTCTTTTTACATCAAATGTGATAAAAAAATATACATTACCTATCATGATAGTGTCATATATAGGCATATTTGAAACCTAAATGAAGTACTGTTAAAATACCATTTCAAAAGTGACCATTAAGAGACCATTAAGAATATTTTCGTTTCCGTGATGCTAAGCACGGCATGGTTATTGCTGTTCCTTTTTACTAATTATAGGATTTTTCTTGCTTCAGTAATGTCTTTAGAAGATCAGAATTTGGGTCTTGGCAGGTTAGCTTTTAAGCTTATTTACTTTTATGCCTGAACATGTTCTCTTAGGTTGAAGTTTTCCTCTAAATAAATGCAGCCTGGAACATTAAACAAACCAGAGCAGTATGCTGTTAACAGTGAAATTGCTGAGAACCATTGACTACCTAGATTTTTATCATTGCAGTTCACCTGCAGCTTTTATAGCATAAAAAAATGTAAATTGTGTCTTTCACATTCCAGCTCACCCCTTTCCCTTAGTGGAAGATGGTACTCAGTAAACTGAGTGGTCATTGAAGGCATTTTCTGGATTCAGAAAGATGAGGAAATATCTATGGGAGCAGTTGAGTATGATTTCTAAACTCATGAATATTAGGAGCTGAATAAATCAGCCAAAAATGCCTTGTGGATTCTGAAGGGTATGGGTCAACCAGTTATCCTCATGGTTCTAATCACATCTAGGATACTCATAACTAAAGGTTTATTGGGATTATAAATTTTCTATGGATCATTCTAATTGACTGAAAAGGTAGCTGGTCAGATTCACATGGGCTAGAATAATGAGGTGTTTGAATTACAATGTTCAGAGGGGTGTACTGGTATAATGCACCTGGTTTCCAAAAGCTGTATCTTGATTGTCAGGTAATCATATATGGAAATATAGTTGTGCCTCTTGTATTTTAACTGGATACTGAAAATGTAGCAGGTGAAAATCTTCCCAAAGTATGTGTTCTGGTAAAATTTTAAAAACTACACTCTGTATTTTTATGTTTGTTGAGGGCTTCTTGTCTAAAGACACAGTAGAGACAGAGCTATAATTAGTCTAAATTTTCATACTACCAGGGAAAAGTTCTCCTCAGTATACTGTACAGCTTGGAAAGGAGAGGTATTAGAAGCAACTGAACTCATTGTTTTCAAGTAATAGCAGTTGTTAACTGATACAGTTATCTACTGACCTAATTATTCTTCACAATAAATTCTAAACAGGTGCCTAAGCAATGGTTGTGCTAATAGGTTTGTTGTTGTATTTGTTTCTTATTTATTGCACATTGTTTTAGTCCTTACTGTTGCCAAGTACTTGGCTAAGTGCTTAGTGTGCAGATACAGGGATTTGTAAGACATGGGTCCGGTCCTTAGGGAACTCAGAGTCTCAGTCCAAACACATATAGACTAATACTCAGGAAAGAATTAATAATGCAGGACTTATCCAGAACTCACCACTCATAACTTCTATGTAAATGGCACTGTCAGGAGCAAGGCTCATGTGTGTATTTCTGATTGGTATGAATCAGCATTTTTTTTTTTTAACTTTATTTTTTGGAGAGACAGAGAGAGCACAAGCAGGGGGAGTGGCAGGCAGAGGGAGAGGGAGGTTCCCTGCTGAGCAAGGAGCCCGATGCAGGACTGGATCCCCGCACGCTAGCAGACACTTAACCACCGGAGCCACCCAGGTGTCCTATAATCAGCATTTTATTTTATTTATTAATTTTTTAAGATTTTATTTATTTGTCTGAGAGAGAGAGCACAAGCAGGGGAAGCTGCAAGCAGAGGGAGAAGCAGGGAGCCTGCTGTGAGGCTCAATTCCAGGACCCTGAGATCATGACCTGAGCCAAAGGCAGGTGCTTAACTGACTGAGCCACCCAAATGTCCCTGAATCAGCATTTTAAACAAAGATTTCAGGGGATGCAAAATATATTCTGGTGATAGATAAGTAAAATTCCTGAAGGCCTATTAAAATCTGTATACACATACTCAAAAAGGTAAATTTGTGGTATCACTCAGATAAAAACTGAAATGGCAAGGTTTTCAACAGCAAATAATGGCCACATCTGCAGGCCTTTGGTGGCCTTGGAGTACACTTGCCTGCAGCCTCAGGGACTCATGTCCAGGGAATGAGTATCCCAGGGCAGTGAGAAATAATGTTAACTTTGTCACAGTAAATGCGATTCCAGACCTCAGTATTTATGAGAATGTTGTTCCAAAATTTTCTAATTGCCTTCTTCAGACTCAGCAATCCCAGAGGCTTTAAGAAAACAGAAGTTTAGTTTGGCATATATAATTTAGAAATTATTTTTAAAAAGAGGACTGAAAATAGCAAATATTTTCTATAAGTACCACATAGTGTCTCCTGTAAGATAGTGAGTCACATGTGCGTTTCCAGGAATAAACAAGGAATAACCAGCCAAACAAGTTTTAAATGTATGTCTTCCAAAAGGCACTGTGACCTTCTGAAGATTAAATCAGCATTTAACTGCTAACTTTAATGGCTTGAATAATGCTATAAAACTCTTACAGTGGAGTCATTAACTAAAAAGAACAGAGGGTTGCATTTTTCTTGTAAGCATTCAGAAATATTTTGTC